GGGGGGGGTTGGCTTTGCTTTGCTTAAGTAAGAATATTGTTACTTATAATACTCTCTTGTAATAATAAAAATTATAATAATAATAATGATAATAGTGCTTCAATTCAACGTGTTTGCTTTACATTTATACTTATTAAAAAGCATCTGCAATCATATTAATGTATAATGATATCAAGAATATTTCATTTATTTGCCCAATAATATCTAAGATATCTTATACTAATACGAGCATATTCAGAGAATCCTTCTAAATAATCGCAACATTGTGTTCTTTCCTTCTGATTTCCCTCCTATGACAGTTAGATAATATATTCTGTACGCTTAATCGGTTATTAACCTAAGACTTTAGTTAATTCTTAAAAAAAAAAAAGCCTAAAATATTAAATACTAAGTGTTTTTAAAAATAAATCTAATATTAAGGATATTCTACATAAGAGAATATAATGAATTATATGTCAATATTGTAAGAACAAGTTAGTGAAGATCCTTATTATTATGAGTATTTTGAAAAATATTTCATTATATGAGTTTGTTTTCAATTTTGAATAGGGTTGAATGAAAGTTTTTAAATCTATCACCAACACTGTGATATTTGTCTTCTTCTTCTTCTTCTTCTTTGTATTATTCGATGAATTATGAGAGCTAAGTAAGAACCTTGTTATAAGTTCATAGACGTTTAAAGTTCAAGGACAAAGGCTTTGAACTCAAGCAGGGAGCGGAAAAAACTGTAAATTACTAATGTTTCAAACAAAGAAAGAAGATTGAATGGATTAATGTAGCGTTTGATTATTGACGAGCTCTTGATACAAATCTACAATAACTGATCTTTTCAAGAAAACATACGATTTTCGATTATGGACGTACTATATATTCTCCTCAATAGCTTGTGAACACATTTTAAGTGACTTCTTGCGAAAAATAGAAAATCTTGGTCGTCTTGGTCTTTCCTTAAAGACTAATGGAGTAAAAGTTCTTCATGTCATTTAATGTTTTTTTTATTCTTGCGAACGGATAATATTTGAAGTTAAGTACTTTGACCAATTAATTTTATACCCTACACGAATTAGAGTACAGTGGTATATTAATTTTATGCGAATGTATGCAACACCCAGAGGGACTTGACATAGTCTTTCATTATACCGATCGATTCAGAATCGCTTTCTTGACCACTTTATTAAACGGTCTAACTGTCTGTCTGTCTATTCATCGTGTGCGTGCGCTGTTGTTCAATTTACACAAGAATGAAAATCGGGGCACGGATGCACTTCGATCCAACTCCTGCTGCTGAAGTATTATTACTAAGCGATGTTTGTCAAGAAATTTTGAAAATCACACGATAGTAAAGGAAAATTTAACATATTTTTGATTGAGATTTGGATGAAATTTTCAATTTCGTGCGGACGTATGTAACACCCAGAAGGACTTGGTATAGACTGAAATAGATAGATTTCGAATCGCTTGTCTGTCCGTCCGTTCGTTTGTTTTCTTGACATCTGTGCATGTATCTTTATTTTCAAGCTACTGGTCGCAATTTTTGAAAATCTTCTGTTTGACGCATGAACCTGTCTTGCTATAAGGACGAACGCTATTGAAAATGGTTTGAATCGGACCATTTTTTCGACCACTTTCCATATGACACCTTATTTTGAAAAGTCGTTATATGAATAATCGTAGTGTGATGTGGGGTATGCAATGGTGGGCCGCGGTCCGCTATTGTGTTTTTAGTTATTTTTTTATTAAAATTCAAATTTTTTTGAAAAACTCCGCTTTATTTTAGGGAAATCCAAGTAAAATGAATAAATTTGGAATTTCGAATAAATGTGGAAAATTGGAAATTTTCATGCATACATACATACAAAGGTTTATTTGAGAGATTATAATATTTTATGCTATGTTAAGAACTATTCTATTATTTACAAAACTTTAAAAGAACTTTTAAATTTCTACCAGAAAATGAAACATTAACAAGTGCTGCACATTCATTATTTATCGATACATGGTCTGAATAGGAAGTGCTAATAGTGATAGGGCAGTGTAACGGCACAGGAGACAATTTAATGCTTGGTTTGGTTTTATAAGGGAAACGAAAGTGAAAAGCAAACCAGAAATAATGAAGAAATACATAGATGAGACGGAGACATAGATTTAAGGCTGTAGATGAAGCAAGAGCAGCAACGATTTCAATATGAAGTTAAATAATTTAAATAATAATAGGATTTAGAAAAAATAAAATCTAATTGTTTTTGTTTATCACAAATTATATATTATAGGTTTTTTTTTTTTTTTTTTTTTTTTTTTTAATTTTAAAACTAAATACATTAAACTTGGTATTAAAATGTTACATAATTATTCTTAAATGATTTGTTTTTTTTCTTTTTGCGGATTTGTGTATATCACAAATTTATTTAAAGATATTCATACGATAATTAATACTAATATTGCGCTTTAATGTGGCCATAGTTGTTTTTCTTTTACCTTTTTTTACATACTCATGCAAAAAACATTTAATAAAAAACAAAAAAAAAAAAGAGAAAAAGAAAAACAAATAAATAAAATCAAAAAAAAAAAAACAAAAAAAAAAAACAATGAATTTTGTTATAAAAATTTTGGAAAAAAATAAATAGTTTCTTATAATATTTGGTTTTCAATTAAAAGCGAATTTGAAGAAAGCCAGTTTTGCATAAACTAGTGTTTTTCAGAGCGAGTGAATATACTTTTCCGATATTTTGTGCTAATTTTTTTTCTTTTCTTTCATAAAAAAAGCAAGACTTAAATACGTTAATGCCTTACGCTGCTAAACGCTGCGAAAAGTTGTTATCTTTTCCTTTTTTTTTTTTACGTTGTGGTTTCCTCAATATCGTTGTCTATGCGTGAAGATCTGATGCCCGTTTTACCAGTCCAAGGGTAAATGTCCGGACAAGGCTGGCAAGTTTTCATATAACGTACTCCGGATTTATGCCAAAGATTACAGACTTTCGGGTTATTACAGCGTTTTGGACGATCCTAAGTGCATACATACATTTTGTTTATTTTAGAAATTCATATTTCGCATACTCGTAATCGTTTAATATATTTACCGAATAATCACAATAGAACGGTTGGAAAGAGTTAATTCGCGACAATGGCGTGGGATCTCTAACCCATTGCAAGGCCTGCCAATTAGTGACAATCCAAACATCAGGCATAGCGTTAATGGCATCTAGAAATTTGATGAAACCTTCTTTATGATGAGGCTGAGTAAACCAGGCGGCATGATAAAATAACCCAAATGGTGCCCTGAAGTTACAAAGTTACAAGTATTCAATACCATATTTCTTTCTACTCTGTACTATCGTATTATTATCACAAATTTTACCTGTTTGTTGTGTAATGTCTTTCGAAATTTTTCATTATCATTTTCATAACACCATCAGCATCCCCAGGATTCGAACAAGCATCACCCATCGAACAACGGCCGCCATTTAAGTCCTGCCACATTACCATCGGTACTTGCCAAATACCCGGATAACTTCTGGTCGGGCAGGGCGGTATCATGCAATCGTGAAAGATCTTATAATCAAATGTATAGGGCCAAGAGGGTGGACGATTCTCGTATACCGGTAGCGAGGAATCATAAGTGAAATTTGAATCATATAACATTTTGTACATCTTGTTGCCGCCAACCGATAGGAATGGAGCTCTCATGCCTCTTACATCGGAAACTTTAACACCGCCATAAGCTGCCAATATTTCCCGTTGACCGGCTACTTCACGTGTCCATTTCTTTTGTGAGAATTGCTCACCAAAACTATGACTACAATCACGTGAAACAGATTTAAGTCAATAAAAGTTAATTTTTAAAAACACAGAGCAGATCTTAAAAGCTCGACTAGTTCTAAACATAAGCGAAATGTTGTTAAATGAATTAATTTTTGCAAAATAACAGAAAATTTGAGTTGTGAAAAATATTGAAAATACTTTAGAATGTTAGTGAAGAGCAAAGTTTTGTTAGTTACGTGCTATGTTCTTCAAGAAAGTTCATTGTCTTCAATGAGCAAGGTTATCAAATAATGTACGTCCTCATGGGTAGTCTCGTGTCAATGGAATAGATAGCAAAGTAAATCATCAAATATAATTTCCAAAAAAGCTGCCGTCTTATTATAAATTAATATGAGTGGGCGAGTAGGTAAAAATCGCGACTACCAACTCAGTATTTGAGAGTTCAAATCTCAAGAGCATTGAACTTTACTTTAGTAGTAGCTATAGTGAGTGTTGGGCACATACTCACTATGCTACGGCCGACACTACTCTGTCCTCTTTCCTTTCGTCATCTCTTTCTAACCGTCATCGTGTTGCACGAATGGGTGGCATCTCTTGGGTGACTGCTTATATTTAAAAAAAAAAGTGTCAAATTAAGATCCGCTCTAAAAGCTTTTTAGAAAAATGGAACCATCAGCCTTATAGGGTTTTATTCGTAAGTTTTCTGCTGCGCTATGCCGTAAAAGCAATTTTGATCAAATTCTTTTACAAGTGGCGCAAATTGATTGAATCGACTGAAAATTTTTCCATAATTAAAGCAACTACAGTGGGACGCGGTTCACTATTGAATGCTCTGAACTACATAATACCGTATTTTTAAACGTATTTATATGAATAACTGTAGGGTATGTAGGGTATTTAAAGGCAAGCCATGTCGCATTAGGGTGTTTTCACTTGCTATTTTATGGTCAGAAGAAAAATCTGTAATAATATGGTTTTATGTTAGCGGATTAGAAATCTAATGGAATACGATTGTGCATTTATTTCAAAAGCCAAATTATATTATGTTTATTGCAAAAGTGAATTATTTGTTTTCAATCGACTAAATATGACGGTAAGTAAAATTCAATCTGGCTTGATCCAGACTTATTAGTAGAGTGTAAAATTGGTGCGTTTCTACTTACAATTAGTTATTTGGCACTACAAAACTTTTACAATTTCTCTCATTACAAGGCAATTGATATTTTATACTTACGATATCGTATGGGAAGCCATTTCATGACCGTCAGCGTATAAGTTTTGGACTTGACTGTAATCAGTCCATTCATGTGAAACATAAAATGTTGCTGTTATGGGACAACCGTTGGGATTGACACGACCTTTCTCAAACAAATCAATGTACAATTGTTTATTCAGATCATTAACTGAATCATCAAATGTCATAAGAACAATTTGAGGGATTTGTTCAACGGGTAAGTCACCTTTAATGTTATTGATAATCCATAATATGTGCCCAAAGAATGAAAAATAATTGAAAAAGTAGATGAATAATAGTAAATAAAAGAAAAAATTATTTAAAAGCAATAGAAATAAAGTTGCGAAACATGATAAACATATATACATATATAAATAGAATTAAAAAAAATAATAATGAAGAAGAAGATTAGAAGAAAAAAAGCCCTTCATTTGAGTAGCTTTTGATTGATATGACATGAAGCGTCCGACTCCAAATTGCTCGCTTTTATTCACTTACGATATGGTGTGTGAGGCCAATTCATGACCATCAGCATAGAGGTCCTGTATCATGCCATAATTGGTCCACTCATGTGATACATAAAATGTAGCACGGATTGGACAACCGTTTGGATTTTTACGCGTATCATTGTTAAATAATTCTTCGTATAAATTAATATTCAATGTACTAACCGCATCATCAAATGTAATCAACACAATTTGTGGTACTTCAGAAACATTTAAATTTCCTGAATTTAATTATTTGAAAAATTTATAAATATATTCGCTATAATGTTTTTTAAAGAATATGTATTAAGGGTTTGACAAAAAAAAAAAAAAATATGCCAAACACATCAAAAATTTCATCTCGTTCCTTATGAAAGCACTTACCGGGTATCTCTTTACCACCACAGAAACAATCGGGCAATAGGCAAACATCTTTACGGCATTTTGCTGCTGTTTTATCCGGAGTGGGTATAGGGTAGATAGGCTCTGGTCTCGACGGTGGATATCTGTAGATATCGATAAACTCCTGAGCCTTAGAAACTATATTACCAGAGGGTTTTAAGGTAGGACGAGTACGGCTATGTAAGTAAATAAAGAAATTTATTAAAGGCTTTTGTTTGTCTTCCTATTAATTCCGGAGGGCAAGCACCTAACTGAAAGTTAACTTTCGTTTCGTTTCGTTTCGTTTCCACAAAAACGGTTGAATGCGCAAGCAAAAGTGTCATTTTTTATACGAGATTGCCCCCCTGATAAAAAAATACTTACGGTGGATAAGTTCCACGGCTATTAGATGCGGGTAATGCTGCATCACGATCTTGGTTATAAGTGGCACTACCACGATTCCTGTTGCTATTCGAATTGATTCTAATTATTTCAAGTGATTGCATTTAAATTGTAATAGTTTTGGAATAGGGCGAGAGCGAGCGAGCGAGCGAATGACAGGAGAGAAAAGAGCAAGAAAGAAATAGAAAGAGAGAGAGAGAGAGAGACACAGAGAGAGAGTGAGAAAGACAAAGATAAAGAAAGAAAGAAAGAAAGATAGGAAATTAGTAAAACAGATGTCAAGGTTAAAGTATATATAGAAAAATTTTTAAACATTAAATATTTTTTTTAAAAATTTACTTTTACAGAGTATTAGTGACATATTAAATAATAAATGAAAACAAAACGACATACCAATTTATTTAGTATACATATATTATATATAGAGTTAAAGCTTTTTTTTCTATTTTACGCAACCAAACCAAAGCAGTGTTCAACATTATACCCCAGAATAGCCGTATTAAGAATATCTAAAAAGGTGATCATTTACAATGAGAACCAAAAATGAAATCTTTTTCTTTTCCAAAAGATTTAAAATTTTTTTTCAAAAAAAAAAAAAAACGTGTTTCGAGTGTGCAAAATGTTAAGTAAACTTGATAATGATGGGAGCTTTGATGATTTTATACGGTACGGATTATTTCATTTTCGTTTGAGAGATGTAAGGAAAAAGGTTTAAAGGGTCTAATGTATGGTACAATAAAATTTTTTATCTTTTATACAGCTGCAAATAAATAAAAGTCATATATATATGTATATATATATATATATATATATATGTATGTGTATAGATATAGTAATGCTTTTTATAAAAAATTTCAATTTGGAAGATGTATGCAATTTTTTGGATTTTCCTTATTTGCTGGAAAAAAAAAAATTTAAATCAAATTTAGAATTTAAGCTTTGCTTATCGATAAGAGATAAATAAGATATTTATAAAACTTTTTCATTAAGGTGAACGCTGAATAATTTGTATTAAGAATTTTATTATTACACTTCGTTAAGATAATTATTTTCATATTATAATTAACTCTTTACAATGTTTATCAATTTTCTCAAAAGATTTGATGACAGAAGACAAAACATGATAAAAATTGGTTTACGATTTTCATAAAACCTTTGTATTAGATTTTTACTTAAGTTTAATGATTTCCATGTGCTTTCATTAATTTAATTTCACATTTTACTGCGAATGAAAATCAACATGGAAACCGGTTGATCGAATTCACTTTTTTCCTACTGTTTACTATTTTCCTACGATTTGACTTAACGACTATAAGCTACGAAAGCCACTTCAAGTGTTCTCAAGCCTTTAATGATAGTGTCCAAATATTTGTAAAGAAATGCTTGAATGCTCTTTGTCTGTACACATCTCTCTTTTTTTAATCGCGTGTTAGCAATTCGTTCTTGGCGCTTAACCTTCTTCTTCTTAAAGATTAGCTTCGCTACTTCAAAAATTCCAAAGCCCTTAACGATAACTTCCAAGTGTTTGTGAATATAGTACAAGAGTCTAATTGCTCGTTGTCGTACATATCTAAATTCAGTTAAATGTTACCATCTACTGTACGTTCTTTTCACTTGTTCATTATCAATTCGTTCACAGCACTTCAGATCTTTTAGAGATTACTTTATTTAAGATTTTTTAGTGCTCTTCAAGTCGCAATTGAGCTCGCATATGACTTTTAAGTCCTTAAACAAGGTAAAGGTTATTTATGAAATAAGAACTACGATCCTAAAAGACAAGCATACAATACGAATGTGCCAAGGTCATTGCCAAATCAATGCCAATGTCAATGTCAAAGCATTAACAAACCAAGTCAATTAGGAAAGAGCTTAGAGATAGCATTAAAATTTTGGCGATCGAAACTTACTTATTAACTGAAGCCTTAGATAATTTACGTCACGTTTACATGTGCAGACATTAAAGTCGATATTTGGAGATTTTTACTATTGTTTTCGAATTGAGGGCGAGCGATGAAATGTCTTTAAGCGATTCCCTACTTAGTTTAATTAATAAGTCGCATGTGCCTTTTAAGTCCTTGAAGAAGGTGAACAGCATATAGAACTATAATCGGAAAAGAGAAGCGTAAAAGAGTATCGGTCCGAATTTCTATGTTAAAGCACTCAGAAGCAACTGCTTATGAGAAGAGATTACGGATTAGATTAAAATGTTGGTAATCGAATCCTATTTTTTAACTGAAGTCTTAGATAATTTGCACTGACTACAAAATTTCACACGCGTAGAGATTGAAGTGGATATTTTCAACTTTTTACTGTTGTTTTTGTATTGAAGATGATGCAATGTCCTTAAGAAGTTCTCTACTTGGGCTAATTAGTAAACTCTGAAACTGATCGCTAACCAAAATATTTTTATTTTTTTATTAAATTTTGCATTTTAGTACGAGGAGATAATTACTTGTAATGAAACATGGGCATTATCCTTACGATCCAGAACATGTTCAAGAATTAAATGAATTTCGTGCTAAAAGCGAAGCGAAAAGAAATACGTCAAAGTAAGTTAAAATTCAGAGTCTTGATGATCGGTTTCCTCGCATATCGCCGTGTTGTTTACAAGAGGATGCTTGCCGAGGTCTTCATATAGGTCTTCAACATCGTTTGCTTCTTTAATCTCTTCGTAAACAACGTTCGTATTTATGATAAAATAATTTTGCGTCGCGATAGTGCGCCTTCCAATGCTGCCATAATTATTCTTCAACATATGTGCGTGAATTAATATCATTTGAAAAGCCCTCCTTTCTCTTGGTATAGCTATGAGTGGCGATCTTCTCTAAAAACTTTAAAGTGAGTTCGCTGGATGCTTTCAAGCACATACGAGAAATGCTGATTTTAGTTAGGAACCAACGAACCGAATCACAGCTTAAGAAATAAAACTATTCGTTGATAATCGAAACGTGCATGTTAGCAAAACAACAAATATTGAATTTCAATTTTTTAGTAGAGAATATATGGCCAGATTAATAAGTCAAGCAATACGTTAATACGTGCTGTGGCTTTCATTTTTATTGTTTGTCTTGGCATCTACCACTCCCTCGTCCGTGTTTTTCTAATCATTGCAAGAGATGGACTCAGTTTATTTCTCTCCATATTGCTCGTAGGTCGTTCTGTTTTTCAGATTAAACATACAGCCGTACAGCCAGTGCTAATAAGCGCAGGTTATTTTCAAATGAACAATTTGGTCTTTTTTAAATTTATATTTAAAATTTATGTCTAATGCGAGCACAAGTTCGGGAGAAAAGCTGCAAATCTACTTCTATATCTGGTAACATTTTGAAAAGTCATTGTTTAAAGGTACATCCATATGGCTACCGTTCGTTATGCATTATTAGATCTCGAATAAAACAGATGGAGATTTGATCGATATAGTTTCGCGTGTATACAAATCTATTTTTATAGCATTTTACATATAAACAATACGTCTCTTCAAAGACAAATCGTTAAAGCCCGAAGACTTTCTTTTCGTGTCGATCGCATTGTCTTAGTGTAGATCTATAAAAAAAAATACTTTATGTACTTTCTTGCTGATTTAAGCGTTGGGCGCAATGAATGCATTCACATCGACACTTTAATTATTTTCGTGAACAGATAGTTAGCGAATTTCAATTAGAATTTTTCATTCTCTAAATTCTTAGCGTCAAGAGTAGAAAGAAGCCAAAATAGATTATAGATTAGATAGATAGATTAGGGGCTGCCTCCAATACTCGCGGACACGGTGTTGGCCAGGAAAGGTTGTAGAAAGGAAGAGGTGTAGAGAAGAACGTTCAACTTGAAACTTTTCTTTTTCATATTTAGACTGTCTTTGCTTTTTATTCTGAATTCAAGTCAGCAGACTTGACCTTGACTTAAGTATGAAATATTCATTAATATAATTAAAGTTTCATTTATTAGAGAAGAAATGAAATGTGAACTATGTATAGTTCTCTTCATGCGAAGTTATTTTATTTCCGAAACTTCCTATTACACCGTATAGACCCGGCAAATTCTAGATGTTGCTACCCATTCTAGCAAAAATTTGACAATTTTCATATATTTTTTTGAGGTTTGTGTGAATCTAAGATACGTTCTAAAGCGAGTGTAAGTTTCTTTCCGGTTTTTTCTAGCCATACAATCCTGGAAAATGATCCTCATTTCCTACGATTGGATTGGTTAATAAAGCTTTTGAATTAACATTTTGTTGAATATTTTTGCAAAATTTTTGTTCTCCTTGAAATGATTTATGGTGCAAATGAGAAATAAACAAAGAAAATAACAAAAAAATATAATATATATAAATGGTGCTTAAATCTTTCAATTTTTATATTAATGCTAAGATGATGAGAAAAAATTTCATAAAAAGAATAATAATTTCGGTTCTCACATTAGAATTGGTGGATGGATGAGTGCAATGTTGCCAATGTTACTGCTGCTGTTATCATTGAAAGAATAACAAACTATTTTGTATATAGTTAATTAACTCACACACTAAGAAAGAAAAAAAAAAAGCGTCAACTTTTTACGACTTGACCGCCACCTGGTTTGATTCGACACTAAAAACAACAAAAAAACAAAAGAAAATTAATTTTTTTTTGTTTTTGTTTTTTTTCTAGAGAAACTATTCAGCGTACACCGTAACTATTAATAAGAATAATATTTTTTTTTTTTTTTAATATATAAAGAATCTACTAAACATTTTTAATAAATTTTGTCTTTCTTAATTTAATTTAGTAAAAACTAATCGGTACATTTTAAGTAAAAAGTATTTGGTGAAATATTTCATTTTTTTTTTTTTTTCTTTTTAATTTTTAGTTAATGTGTTTATTTGCTATTGCAATTGTTGTTGTGATCTCTCAGTGGTAGAGAACCAGAGAGCGCAATGGAGATCAAAGAGTGCAAATTTTTTTTGATAAGCCAGTGAAAAGTTTTTCTATTGAGTTTCTAGTTAAAAAAATATATGAAGAACAACGTTTTGTGGTTAAAGTACCTCGAAGGAATTTCATTGCATTTGGCGTTCGAAGTGGTATCTGAACATTTGATGGTTGGGCCCAATGAAAACTTATTACTTCTAACCACAGATGGTGGAGCGCCTTTATGGGAGGGAGATGCTGTGACGGCAGCAGCAATTGACGATTTGATGGCATTATTGACCCGAGAAGCTCTGGCTGGCGGCTGGTTATTTGAGCTTCGGCCAGTATTGGCGGGTGTACTGCTTATATATTTACCCGTGGCAGTGGTTGTGGTTGCGATGGAAGAGGAGGGCAAGAAACTAGAGGTGGAGGATGGAAATTTGGGAATGTTCTTAGGCGTGGTAGTTGTTGTAGTACTAGTCGATGCGTTATAGATAACCGAACTATTGGAAAGTTTGTTGTGTTTGATAGTAGAAGAGGGGGTAGCAGTTGGAGTAGCAATAGAAGTAGTTGTAGTAGTGGGCCTAGTTGTGCTGGTAGTGCGACGTATAATGGTTGTGGTGTTTAGGTGTTGTTGTGTACTATTAAAGCTAGTGTAAGCAGTTGTGGGTGGCATAGCCGTAGTAGTTGGTTTTAATGTGGTTGTAGTCGTGGTAGTCAAAGGTAAGCGGGTCGTACTAGCGGTATTTGTGTAAAGATTTCTGATCTCTTCTACAGCTGCTTTTATTGCCGGTTCCATAAAGTCATTCACGAATTGTGGAGGACCACTTTCGTCCTCTTCACTATCGCTGCCAGCTAAAAACAATTGAAGCTGCTCTAGTACGCTGTTAGCCTTAAAGGATGCTTTGTTAGATGCACTTGAAGATGTTATATAACCAGCATTTTGCAGACTTTCCGCTAACGTACGCTCTGGAGTATTTTGTCTGTATTTATTTGAATAGAAATATTTCAGAGGACGATCCGTTATAGCTACCACCTGTTCTTCTCCATTTATCTCAGAAGATTTGGCACCTTCAATACTATTTTCCTGATTATTATGCAATGGCGATGATATTAAGGCTTCAGCTCTGGGCTTTTCCGATAATGTTTCACTTTCCAGTGGCTTTCTTTTGTACGGATTTGTTCTAAATGCCTCACGTTCTGTATACCTTTCCAGTGACTTCCCCGTGCTACCAAATGAAGGCCTATGATGTTGTAAGGATGATATACGAGCTCTTTGTATTTTTCTACGCACCGCCAACGAACTGGTTGATGGTTGTGTAGTCGCGTCTCCTACGCTTGCGGTAAATCTATATTTGGGCGAATAGGTGGTCGGTTCATCGTTGTCCAAGAGATTAGAAACAGTAGCAAAAGTATAACGCGATCTTCCTCGTGATCGAGGTCTTTCGTTGGCCTCGGTTTCCTTTTCAGCTTGTATTAATTTAAGAGGTGATGAGGCAATAATTGTTGATCTCGCTGTGGTAGATTGAGTAGATGTTATAGGATTGGAGGTGGTAGAAGTTGTTGTGGTCGTTGTAGGGCTAGAATTAAACTTTAATATCGGCGGCTTTAAAGTAAGGGTCGAGAATGTAGTAATAATGGCATCGCTAACACTAAAATTGCGAGAGTTGGTAGCCATAGTTGCAAATATACTCTCATTGAAATTTTTTGGCTGTGAAGTTATTAAAAAATAACTACCAAATGGTTTTGGGGTAGTTTGTAAGAAAGGAAGTGGGGAAGTACCCGATGCGAGATACCGAGGCTTCAATGTGCTTCTTGGCAAACCTAAGTTCGAACGTTCATCCTTTTGTAGAATGTTTTCTAAGCTTTTGTAAGGCGAAACGAAGCGATTGCTGGCACTACTAGTTGTCCTTTGTAGATTATCCTTAAAAATGGACGTGCGAGCCGTAAAGCTTTGTATGGGACGTTCACTGCTAATTGCAACGCCTAAACTATTACTAGGAGTGCTAGTTGTAGGCTTATGCGTTGTCGTAGTAGATGTTGTTGAGCTTGCAGGCTTATAAGTGGTTGCAGGAGTTGCTGTAGAACCTTTTATAATGTTGGGAGCAATTTTCTGAAAGTTCTCTTGCGCCACTGTTTGCACTTTATTAGGCTCTGTTATCACCGAAAAAGTATTGTCGTAAACTAATTTCATTGTAGTTGTAGGGTATGTGGGTCGTCCATTTCGCCAAGTTCTTAAAGGAGGAGCATAAGTAGTTGCCGCAATCTCTTCTTTTGATGATGGAGCAAAATAAGTCGACTGCGTGCTACTGGATACAGCCTTTTCCGTTGTGCTATAAGATGTTGTCGTCGATGTTATTGCTTTAGATTTCGGTGTGACGGTTGTACTAGGCTGCAGCATAGAGGTACTTAATACCCTTTCATATATAGGCTGTGACTTTATTTCTGCGGAGGACAATGGCACACTTTGGGCTCTTAAAGCGAAACCGTTAGTATCACGTTGTAAACTGTATTCAAACATCTTCGGCATTGGACTGCTTGGGTTATAAGTAGCTGGGTATTTTAGCGTAGTACTTGATGAACTAGCGCTTCTTAATATTTCTTCAGAATTTAATTGTAGACTATCACTTTCGTTATTTTTAATTTCTCTAGATTTGGCTTGATAGTTCTGTCGCTCAAATTCTGATTCGGGAAAATTTTGGATACGTTTACGTTCAGCGGTAACTTTGGAGCTTTTTGATTTCTCGTTCACTAGATTACCTGCTTTACTCTGCTCCGAATAGTCATTCAATTTTATGTTGACCTTATTTACTTCAGTCGCTTTAGTTCGAGAGGGCTCAGAGCTTTGCACTTGTACGTTTTGACTTTCATCATAAATATTTTCCACCTCCTCGAGATGGTTGATACCCGCCGGAGTTGAGTTTCTATCAGTTGAAGTTAATTGCGCATTTGTCAAAATTTGTTTCGTGTGTTTTTCGTGTGCCTGAGTAACCACACTTAAGATGGGAGTCTTGGGAGAGGAGCTCGTTAAGGAGGCAACGGAAGGGGTTGTGGAAGGATTGCTTGGATGTTTTTCATGAGGAACTTGTGTAATGGATTGTAATGAATTTATTTGTTTGGTTTGTTTTGATGGTGATAGTGGCTGTTGTTGTTGTGGTGATGGTGATATTGGTGGTGGTGATCTTTGTTGTTGTTGTTGTTGTTGTTGTTGTTCTTGTTGTTGTAATTTCTTATTGGCATGCGTTTTAGATCTGTTGGAGAAATCCACATATTCCGTTAATTGTGTTAGTAGAAAAGACGGTACAGTTGTTGTTGTATTTATTGCTGATGTTGCAGTTGTTACTACAGTAGAAGTGATGGCAATGTTCATGGTGCTATTTTCTACTGTTGGTGCTAGGTTACTACTCTGATTGTTATATGTATGCGTTCTTAGTTTGCCAATATTAAATATGATTTGTTCTTCTTCTTCTTCATTTTCATTTTCATTTTCATTTTCACTTTCGTTATCTATTATCGATTCATTATTATCTGCTTCATCTACGAGTGATGGCTTATAATTAAGAAAGGGGAGTGATGATCTGATGGAATTACTCAAAAAGTATGATGAATATTTTTTCAGAAAGGAGGGGGAATTAATAAATCAAAACGTAATTGCGAGTGAAGGTGAAAAAAGGGGGGGTTTTGACGACAGACGAGTGATTGATTGTAAAAAAAAAACAAAAGTAAAATATTTGTAGGAAGTTCAAGTAAATGTTTGGTCAAAGAGAAAGGAATATAAATAAATTAAAATTCACATTATTATTTTAAATATTTCTTTTTTTTTTAAATAAATCGTAATAAGTTTCATATAAGTTTTGTTTGAGGAAGAAGTGCACTGTGACATTTTTTTTAAAGTGGTTTTATTATTGTTGTCTCGTTTCATGTTTACTTAATAGTTCATCTATCATGCACGTACAGGCACAGTACATTTGGCGCGAACTCGTTTATTTAAATATAACATGCTCATGCTTTAAACACATTAAACATGCAACATAATGTAATCATGCCATTAAGTTAGAAAGCATACTTTTCAATCTGAAGCTGTTGCTGACTTCCTAAAATGCTTATATAAATATTCTCTCTTGCTTTACCTAAATTTCGTCGTACCGAAATACTGCAACTATGCGCCAGCGACCCCGCTAAATGCATATATATGTATATATGTATAAATATACTTGAGATCAGCGTAAGATTTCAAGCCCATTTAGCTCGATCTGTTTGGCCGTCACTGTGCCTATCTGCCTGCCTACCTGTCATATGTTGTGAATATTATCATTGTCGTAACATTACACAAAGCCAAGCAAAACTTTCTACGGGCTTTTTTTAGGTGATGGCGACCGATCAAGCTTGAATACAGTCCTAACTTTTCCACACGACCAAATTGAGCGAAAATGTATAACTGACTTTTTGACCTGCCCGCCTGCCCAAGATAAGGGAAAACCTGTAACTTATAATACAAACACGAAACAAAGAATATTCCTTGCTTGGGGCTACCTAAAAGGTCAGTGTAAAAAAAAAAAAGTGTCGATCAACCAGCTGACAAGCCCATGGTTTGATGTCACGAATATTAAGGATTCGCCTTAAGATTTACTATCATGACTTCTCTACTTATTAAATAGTACATCCTACATTAGTTGATGACGGCGAAAAAGGCAGTCCTACAGCGGACGTTATTTGTCTTTCTATAAAAATAAAAAAAAAAAGGTAAAAATAAAATTCTTCCACAGTATAAAAAACGATTTTGGGCAAATTGCAAAAGCGCTAGGGTTGATACTCGCTATCTTTACGCAATCCGAGTAATGTGCCCTGAATTTTGCTACGAATGACTGAACTACGTCTTATGTTAGGGAAATCTTTACAATAGTCCGACAAAAGATCGAAATTAGAATCTGGACGGACTTTTCAACTCTGTAGCAGCCTGGCAAAAAGACAAGCATCAGAATTTTGTGTTACACTTAATGTTTATGTCGTAGGAAGAATATCTTGCGAATTTTATCTTCAACTTTCGCCGATGTGCAAAACGTCGGTTAATTAAAAGTGATTACATTTTCGTATAAATTGAAATATGTTGTTCGCTGCTTGATGGAGAAGAAATAAAGAAGGCTTCAGACAAAAACGATGTCTTTCGACCAAATATTTGTGAAGAAGATAAAAGACTTGCAGGAGGTGATTGCTGAAATTTTTCACGACTTCGCGAGGGCTTCAGGTACTAACATTTTTAGAGAGTGTCGAGTTCACATAAGTAGTTTGAATAAGTAAAATTCCTTCGAATTTTGCTCATATAGGTTAATCCTTCAGATATAATCTTTTGGATATGAAAACCTTTTTACTTCGTTTGTGTGCGTAGATATTTTAACTGAAATATTAATTATTAAATTTATGCTCGAAAAAGTACTTATGAGGTATATTCCATATTTAGTACATTTTTGGGGAAAATGGATCTTGACTTTACCATCGTTAAGATGAATTGCAGCAGCATTTTGAAAACTGGGGCTTCAGTCCTAAAGTAGCTAAGATTTTCAAAAATTATCACAGAATGCAAAAAAATATAAAAGAAAAGATTTTTTTAGGTACAAAATTTCTGATTGTCATTGAGTATATAGTTGTGGGCTCTACTTATACCAAAAATTTGCTATGCATGCCAAACCGTTACAGGCGACTACAGCAGATTCTTTCGAAGCATATTCTACAAATCTACGAAGATAAACACGATGCTACGAGTCCACTTTCTACCTGAATATCTCGACTTATGTTGATGTATAAGATTTGATCCGGTTTTGTGTTTTAAACGATTGCATTTTGTTGTGTAAAGTATGATCAAGTTCATGAACAATGTTATAACCAATCTACAGAGTGGATCGTATATATAGAGAAAGAGAAAGATAGAAATATAGAAAGAGGTATAGAATGAAAGTTTGTGTGTGTGAGAGAGAGAGAGAGATAGAGAGAGAGTGATAGAGAGCGGGGGAAAGGAAGAGAGGTAAACAGTGTCCTAAGCAAAGATGGATGTAAAAGTGATGTTTTCTCATGTTCAAACAAATCATATTAAGCCAATTTACTTTTGGGAATGTTTAAGCAAATTTGCGACGATACACAAATCGAAATCTAAATGGTGATGTTTTTGAAATGAAGTGCGCTTTTTTACTTGTAGAGTTAGCAAAAACAAAAATTTCCCAATTTTCTTCTTAAAAAATTTTATATAGAACGACTGTAAAAAATTGAGAGAGAGAGAGAGAGAGAGAGAGAAAAAAAACAATACCTTGAATTTTTTGTAGTTGTTCGGCTTGTAGATGTTGTAGTGGTGGTGCTGGTGGTGGTGGGTTTTCTAGTTGTTGTTGTTATTGTAGTGGTTGTTTTAGTAGCTGTTCTCGATTTCGTTTCGAAATCTTGAATGTTTTGTAAACGTGCCCCAATCACATCATATGAATCTTGTTCAGTTAATGGTTTGAGTTTACCAGTATACTTAGCCGAACCTTTCTTATTTGTGTAATAATAGTCCGACGAATCACGATAATCCGCTTCATAAATGTAAGCCGGCTCTTCGGCATCATTTGGTAAAGTTGGCACCGGTGTTGTTAAAGTGTTATAGTAATTACGTTCATCTCTTTCTAATACTGCACGGACCGTGGAAGAAGATCCACTGCGTAATGTTTGTATGGAAATTTGTGGATTTCTAGTGTTTTTTTTTTTTTTTTAATTTTTTTATTTGTTTTTTGGGTATAAATTAAATTAAATTTTTTGTATGTTTTAAAAAATTTTTAAAAGAGAGGAAAGTAGTGAGCAAGTTATAATAGAAAGACAGACAGGCGAAAAGGTAGACAGAAGGAAAAGATATGGAATTTTGATGTTCTTTATGTTGTTTTTCTGTTCCGTGTATAATGTGCTGTGACGTAGAATGCAAGTCTATCTTAGCCTTACTTATTATTCCTCTTCCTATCAGTTTGTTTTCAAGTTTTTGCATTATTTTTTTTTTTTTTTTTTAGAATGAGTTTTCTTGGTGGTTAGAATTTTATTTCATACAAGTATTTCCGCTTTCTTAAATGTTCATTCATTATATACGAGTGTTACAAAAATGTTTATATGTAGCGTACATATGTGTAAGTGGGGTGATGGGGAATGGTTAGATGCACTATTTGGAGTGTTTGTATATGAACTTACCTTGAGGCCGTACGTGTCGGCTGATCATAGCTATTATCTTGTTCAATCTGTAAAAATTTCGAAAATGCATAACGTAAAATAATACGTAAGTAATAAGTTTGAAATCTAATAGACGTAGGGTAGGTGTAACGCAAGCGATTACATTAATAATATATGTTTAGTAAATTCAGATTATATTTGCTGCTTAGCAGAAGACCTGCTAATAGCTAATTGAAGCAGTTTCGCTAAAAATGGCTTAATGTAATGTTTACAGTGAGAGAACTAAAATTTGACGAATTTTAAAGAAAAGAAAAAAGCCGGGAGTTTGTAATTAAATACAATATAATCCCCCACCGGCATATTTGGTCTGGCGATCTTTGGTCTTGCGTTCTTAGGGTGTACTTTGGTATAGACATTACACGGCTTCAATACTACAGTCTCTCCAGATGAGGTGAGATGACATCCCACCGACGATAATCATCAACAATCGAGGGATCATAATAACTGTTAAGCATGTATATCTTTGTTCCTCATAGCGTCCGTTCGTGTATAGCTATGACAACCAAAGTACTACTAGCTACTTGCGGATCGCCTACGCAAAGCCCGATATTCTTGCAGTCTTGCCGCATTGCATCATTGGCAGAAGATTATTGGACAATCGAAGGTTAAGTCTTGTAGTGTTAATGGCTAAGTACTTAATATGAGGACAGACACATCAGGACAGTTTTTGCTACCAATCCTATGACTCAATCGAAGGCTATTTTAGTTTTCTTTTCCTTTGGGCTTACAAACTGTATCGGCCAACTATATGGCGCCTCGTACGTTCCCACTAATACTAATAGCATTGCATTGAATTGAAGTAAAGTTAGGCCAGGATACTACCCTTTACAGCTTAGCAGACAAATTCCTATCGATATAAATAGAGGTACATATGATTTGGCTTTGAGTTTTTACTTACCTGAGCTATTAGATCTTCATCGTAATCGTTATTGTAAAGTAAAGCCTGCTGATTACTGCCATAATTGCTAGGTCTCTGAGGCTTTGCTTGAGATTTGTAACCTTCCCGTAATGGCGTTGATGGGGTTGTAAAGATATCTAAAGGACGATAGGTGGATTGTTGGCTTGGAGAATTTCTAAGCGGTTGTTGAGAGGGTTGATAATGCTGTTGCTGTTGTTGTTGCTGATGTGTTTTTTGCTGCTGCTGGGGTTGTTGATAGTCTAGATCCCTATACAAATCAATATCATCGTCATAAACAGAATAATAACTATCATAAGGATTTTGTTCAGGCAATTGAACTTCAGATGACTGTGGTGGAGATGATGGTAATTGTTGCTGTTGCTGCTTTTGTCGATTTTGTGAATATTGTATGGATGATAGTGAATGTTGTTGATATTGTTTTTGTTGTTGTTGTTGTTGTAATGATTTGGATGTTAAATGTTGAGGTATGTTTTGATGTTTTTGTTGCTGTTGTTGTTGTTGTTGTTGTTGTGGCACATAAGTGTCAACAACATCAACACCATCTTCATCACCAATATCATCGTTAACATCTTCATCACTAACACCATCATCAACGTTAACATTATGTTGTTCTTGTACATTTTCTTGTTCTTGTTGTTGTTCATAATTAGTTGTATTGTAATAATTGTTATAATATGGATGATGTTGATGATTAATACTAAATGGTTGCGGTTGAGCGAATGACGATAATGATGGCGATGACGTTGATGATAATTTTGCTTGCTGTATTGGTAGATTCCGATTATCGACCATCACTTGATTGTGATGTTGTTGTATATTGTTTTGTTTAATTGCTTGCAAGTAAAGGCTTGATGGAGTAGCCGTTTGTTGTGATGAATATGGCGATGATGTTTCAACTCTAATGCATGTTTGATCGTTTGAATGATGGAAAGTGTAAAACACGAGATAATGGGTTTGATTATGGAATTTTGGGGGGAAATTGAGGCAAAAGTTGGATTGGTTAAAAGGGATCGAGCAGTACGTTTTAGTAATAAAAACCATTTTAATAATATATACAAATTTTTTTTTTTTTTTTTTTTAATTTTGTTGTATTTAAATACAAAATTTAATCCAAATATTTGTGGTTTATAACAATGATATATATTTTAAAATTTTTTTATTAATATTTTGCAGCAAAAATTTATTATTTTCAATTATTGGTTTGATTTTACACAAACATATGTACAGAAGAAAACAAAACAAATGAAAAATATAAAAAGCAATAATTAGTTAATTTGTTTTTGTTTTTACAATATTTATAAAGTAATGAGAAATCGATGAGAAATTTTTAGTAAAATGTTACGATATATGAAAAAGCATTAAGAATGAAAGATAGGGAGATAGATAGATAGAGAGAGAGAGAGAGAGAGAGAGAGAGAGAGAGAGAAAGAGATAGAGAGAGATTGACAAAGATACAAAGAGAAGTAGTGTATAGTGAATGATATATAGTACAGAGGATGCAAAGCAAAAGTAATGAGATAGAGTTCAATTTATTATATACGCCGTTGTTGTTTTTCTTGCGCTATTAGTATCAATACAGTAAAATGTCTTCATATAATATCTTTAGTCTTCCGGTTATGTTTAACATTCTCGTTAACGATAAAAATCTGTACAAAGTTTGTTAAGGTTGTAACGGCTTACATTATCGAAACATGACAAATTACTGAGCAAAGACAAGAACCCATTTTATATAAATTGATTTTACATTTAATTTGTTTATTGACATTCGGTCAAAATTAACAATAAATATAGTTGTTTAAAGGTCTTGCAAGGTCCGGATAGGCCGACACAATTGTACCCAATGTGACTGATTACGAAAATACTGAACTCTTACATGGCCTTGAAAATGTTTTTATAAAACTTTAATTCGCATCTCTTATAAATCTGAATTTTCCGCATCTAAATCAGAGGGACACACACATAATTTCAGTATTCGCATCACAGATGTACGAAAGATTGCAGAAAAGGACATTAACTCAAATCGTTACTCTGATAAGCAAGGTATCTACCACCTAAGGTTGGGGTAAACTCATTTGTCCAAACGTTTGCAAACTCCCAAAAGAATGCTTCAGAGACCTCATAGGGTGTGTGTATTCTTCATCAATATCAAATTCTGAATCGATTTAAGCATGTCCGTCAATATGTCCGTACATCTGTCCGCCGGCCAAACTTGTGGGCCTGCCCGCTTGTCTGTATTTTTTTTTTTTTGTATTTCAAAGCGATCCTCTGCCGGTTCGTCTGTCTATGGTAAACATTCTCTTGGTCGTAAAAATCGACCTATAAGCTTGAAATTTGGCGAAAAGATTAGAAGCTCTAGTTGAGAATAGGTGAAATCCTTCGAAGCGCAGTTCCGCAATATAATTAGACTACCTCTGTGTTTATGCCTCGTTACTCATACCCAAATATCGACGCCAGCCACACAAATTTCCAGGTCTATTTTATATTATAAGTAGCGCCACAATTTCTGCGCATGAACGTGAAAAAATCCTCATCGCTGTTATAGAGTATCAAGATTTAATTTCTTTTTTTTTTTACTTTAAGAAAAAAGTGGAGAACAGAAAAGGTTCGGCCACAGCCGAATATATTTTTGTTACAAGCAAGTTTATAGCAAGTTCAATATAACTAATTTATAATTGTTTTTAAACTTTAAATTAAGATGGGTCGTGTCTTTGCCAAGTAAACCTCTCAAGTATCTTACTCGATTTTGCTTAAACACTATTCTTCTTTTTTGTTTTGCTTCTTATTTTTTTTTTTTTGTCTATATATATATATATATACAAGGGAGAAGGGGCTTATATGTCGTTTTGTTTTTCTTTTATTAATCGAAACAAACGAAAGGTGTATTAAAAAATTGCCTTAAAGGCATTCGGTTTTTTTAGCCAGGTTTTTAAAACACAAGGAATTTGTTAACAACATATATACTTCGAATTAGTTGACAATCTTAGGTATGTTCAGGTTTAATTCTGATTTTTTTTTTTACATTTTTAATTTTGAATAGTTTAAGCACACTCTACCTGCTAGGTACGTTTACGTCCGCATTTGTATGCATTAAGCTGTTTTCGTTGCCGCCAGCCGTTGCACTATTTGTGGCAATATGAGCTGCAGCCATTGGTCGCTTTCGGTATATATGAGCAGGGCGATTATGTTTAAAGTCCAAGGTCAATAAAGTCTTGTTTGTTTGTTGACCTACAGTATTGGGTGAATGCCATTTGTTTTGACCGCGTATACGATGAGGACGTATAGTGTATCGTGGACGTGGTGCCGTCGTAGTAGTAGTACTTGTGCTAGGTGTAGAAGAAGTGCTGGTCAAAGTTGAGGTAATAGGTTTAATCGTTGTCGTAGCCGTAGAGTTGGCAGCAGTTGGTTTCGTTGATATTGCAGGCTTTACACCAAAATGTGTTAATTTCAGTATAGACGAGGGCGTAGATAGTTTTGTTTTGATTTCTTGAAAATAATCGCTTGGAAAATTAATAAACGAAGGTATTTGATTTTGATTTCTAATGAGTGGATGAGGTGGCTGATAAAATTGCTGAAAATTATGATTTATCATAAAAGGTTTTCGGGTAGTTGTTGCCTCTAAAAAACCGGTAACATAGGTCGGCTTGGCATTAAACGGAGGATTGGCAGTGGCTTCTAACGGCGGCATCATTTGGCTTCTAGGTGGTGCCATTGTTTCCGACATTGGCGCATATGGGGGCATTTGGGAAGGCGGCTGTATCTCTTCATCAGCATCTATATCGGGCAAATCGGTATCTTCCTCCCCTCCTACTTCGAGTTCGTCTTCTTCATCGTAATATTCATCATTTGCTTGAGGGTTGTCCGGCTTAGAGGTAGTAAATTTCGTAGGGCCACGTATAGAATTAGTTTTCTGTGTTTGATTGGGTATACGATTAATAAAGTTTTCATAGTTCTTCGTAGATTTCTTACTGCTCGCAGTAGTGGAAGTCGTCGTAGTAAAACTTGTCGGAAGCTTTGGCACCCAATGACTATTGTTTTCATTTAACATACTTTTAGGCTTGTTAACTTCTTTCAAATAATTAAGCATACCTTTGACGGTGGGATTCAAGGGAGCCAAGTCACTGGCTCCCAGAGATGATATGAATTCCGATAAATTAAATTGTAATCTCAACGGTTCCTTGACCGTTGTGTTAAGGGGTCGGAATGTACTCGTCAATAAGTTTGTAAATGGTTGATAGGAACTGCTTAAACTGTGATTGAAGATAATGATATTGTGTGATTGCATTACGGGCCGAATTGTGTTCAATTTAGGTGCAGTTACAATGTTAATGTTGTCCGTAACTGGTATTAAGGTGTTCATCTCATAAGTGATGGGCTTCAAAGTTGTGAAATAATGTTTCATTTTTTGATTTGCCAATATATTGTACTTAAAATATTGACTTTCTGTTGTCGTGGTAGGACTGCTACTGACTACACGTGGCGTTGTGGTAATATATTCATTCGATGCATGATAGGTTGAAGTTAACTTTGTGGGATAATTGAAATATTGATTATTGTAGAAACCACCCATTGTGCTGATTTGGGTATTTTGGGCATTTTTCAATATCTTAGGAGTAGTTGTTTTAAATGCAATGAAGGGACTTTGAGTGCTTTGTTCTTTTAAAGGATCAATATCTAGATGATAGTAGCTGTAGTTTTGCATTTGTAACTTTTTGCGTTGCTCTTTCAATTCCCGTAAAGATTGCAAAATGTACGGTAATAAATCTGAATGCTTAATATTGAATGGTCTTAAAGTGGTTGAGGTAGTTGTACTCTGGCTGAGGCCGGCACTACCAAAATAATTTGTACCTAATACAGGTCTAAACGGATTGAACTCGTTCGTATTATATTGCTCTGTAGGTGATGGTGACGCTGTGCGAAAGTTGGAATTTGCAAAAACTAATTTAGGTCTATAGTTACCACTGAATGTTAGGGGATAATTTTGATAATTTTGTTTTTGTACTGAATTTAACGCATTGAGACTATCATAAGTGACTGTCGAGGGTGGCGATAAGAATGGATTAACTGAACCGAAAGACTGTGAAAGTTGCTGCTGATAAGGGCTTGTGTCTACTGAACGAAAATGTGTTGGCACAAAAGGCCAATGGGTGCGTGTGCCGCCCATACGGATATACGGTCGTAGCTGTCGTATGTATCTTAAAGATTCTACGGCGTCCGCATCAGGATTGTCATCGATCGTGAAATCAGATATAAAGGTATGTTCTGTTTGTGTTTCCTGGGCAATCAAATCATCTTCATCGCGGTTATCAAATTCTCTCGAAAAGTTTACTTCCTCCGTAATCGTATGATTTTTTGATTTGGCTACTTCTCTCAAATTTTCCAGTTTTATGGATTTTCTTAAAAGCTCCCCAAATTTTGTGAACATCTTACTTAAAGGCTCTATTTTGTTTAACGTTCTTTCTTCAAGATCATTGTGATTTTTACTTCTTGATTTATTATCCCATTTTCCGTTAACAGGTGCCCGTTCTTCTTCCCCGTTATTGTTAGCATTTTCTACATTTTTTAAACTTTTCATTTCTCTGTTCGAATCCTTCAACTCGCCTTTTCTAGAAATGCCCGAGTGCTCTACATTCTCCCCCAGATTTTCAGATTTTCTCAAATCTTCAAAGTAATCTGTATGTTCAGCTAACTCCGGGTTTTGGAAATCCCCCAAATTGTCGTAGCTTCCCAAATCATCGACGTTGTTCACATTTTCGGCATTGTGTAAAATATTTCTTTTTTCATGTTGATTCGAAGTCGTTCTTTCTTCTTTGCTGTTTGCCGTTTTGTCCCAGTCTTTAGAATTTCCCGATTCTCTATGTATTTCCAAGCTTCGAAAATTTTCTTCAACTTGTGGTAACTCCTCCATGGAGCGACTATTTAAAATTGCCGGACTAGCCCAACTTTCTGGAATATTTCTTACGAAATTTTCACGTTTTTCAGAACTTTTCATAATACCGAATTTTTTCGCATTTTCTGAGCTCATTACATATTCGAAAGTTTCCAACTCTTTTGAAATTTTTGTATCTAACAGAGATGACAATTCCTCTATATTGGTGGTAACATAATCCGGTCCGTACAATTCTTTAATTAACTCTTTGATTTCTTGCATAGTTTCCGTCTCACTTACTGTGTTCTCGCTCTCATAAGATATCTTTGATGAGAATTTTGCCTCTTTTGTACTGTTTGTTAATGGTTGTTGCTCCGCTTGTTGTTCTTCTTGTTGTACTTTATGTTCCACATCGAACCCTAAATCACGTTTATAACGTCTTTTATGCTCATTGAGGTCAAGATCTTTGGCATCGTTTACATTAAGATTTTCAAGTCGATTACCGTTCAAGTCAAGGTTGATAATGTCAGAACTTCTCATTGTATGTATGCATGTTATATGGTGCGCACATTTATTATATACGAATACGTTTGTTGGAGTTTGTTTTTTGTTGTTACGTATGAGTGTACACGGTCATAAAGTGCAGTTGCGAATGCGTTTGATTTTTTTTTTTTATTTGTTACAATTTTTTTTTTTTTTCATTTTTTAAAAATTTTGCAAAATGAATTCAATTCAATTGTAGAATATAAAAAAATAAAATTAGAAAAATTAAAGTGAAAATAAAGCATATTATGGTAAATTTAAAAAAAAAAAACAAAAAAAAAAAAAAATAAGCAAAGTGAAGTTTCTTGCTTTCAAAGAGTTTCTAAAAACAAATCTTAAGTTTAGCTTTATTGAGAAGTTACGAAATACATACCTGTATTGGTTGCCATAACCACTGTATGAATTGAATTTATCATGATTGGGTATAACGTTTAAATTTGGCTGATGAATGATGCCATCACGATCACGTTGCACTTGACTGACTGTACTCGGCTGACCTCTATAAACACGTTGCTGTCGATCGGTTTCCTCTTCTTCGACAGGGGGTAAAGTCTCAAGAGCATCGGCGTAGAGCTATAGAGCAGCAATAAAAAAATAAAATTTGTTCGGTTTTGCCTTTCAATGCATTTTTCTTCACTTACTTTGGCTATTTCTTCTTGAGCTTCTAATACATGTTTCGGTTGTCCTCTTGATGTTATAATCGGATTGGGTGATACCTTCAATTGCGGTGGTGGGGGTATATTATGAACTTGGGCTTGTATTACTTGAGACGGTTGTCTATGGTATTGAGGTGGCGGTGCTGTAGCTTTTAACGATTGCTGCTGAGTCTGAGGACTGGTAAATGCCGAACCAAATCTTATGCGACTTGGTACGTTTGTTTGGTGCTGCGGCTGTTGCTTTTGCAATGTTTGCTGCTGTCCTTGACCATGTAATTTCTCTTGCGTTTGCTCTCTTGCAACACTATCACTTACATCACATCCCACATTACGCGGCCAATCGCATGTTTGCAATTCGTGTGAATACATGAGGCCACCAGTACAACTTTCCAGCAGAGCTCCTCCAAAAACGCAAACATAATATTGAGTGCAATCGGTAGGATGTGGAAAATAGCCAAATTCCTCAGGACAATCAAAATTTAGACCATTAATCGACGATAGCGAACTTGATGAGGATTTTACTTGAGTACCGAATGTAGTACGCGAGCTGGTTATGCGGGATGACCTTTTATTTAAAGTCTGAGCAAAAGTGGTAACATCTGCAACATAACAATATTTTTTTAATTAATTATTTTAATGAAAACAAGATTCCGTTTGTTCGTTAATTAACTCATCTTGTAATCTTTATTGTCGTCGTAAAGCTGTCGATTGTTTAAAATCTCGGCAAAATATATTATTATACTTTTTATAGTTAAAGGTTATACATGTCTAGCAGTAGCACAGTGGCCATTCATGCTGGCTATGTTGTAGCAATGTAAACGTACACAATAGCATTTGTTTTCACACATGTCTTGCATGTGAATTTTTCTATGTGATCTCTAAACGCTCATCGCTTGTCAATTTTATTCGTTGTAAACATTTCTAAGGGGTTTCTTTTTTTTTTTTGTTTTTTTACTGTTCGTTTGTTTTCTTTACATCTTCGGAGTTTTGTATTAACATCTATATGTCATATCGTTTGTTTTATTACCCCGGCTTGAAACTTTTTGCATTTGACTTATTTCTATGTTAATTGCATCTGTTTGCATTAATAGTACAAAAAGCGTTTGCCATGACATTTATTAGTCTAATCATTGGATACAAAAATCAACACAAATTTATGTAGGAATCTCTTTAAAATTATAATAAGTTCTTTACATTCGCTATTAAGAATATATATATATATATATAAGCTTTAATTTCAATGTTTTTCATTAATTGTGCCGTTTAATGATATCAGCAGTTATTATATAAATTAATTATTTATAGAGATGAGGCTGACAATTGACTTAGAAACAAATGTTTCTACTTGTATTCGTAAATCAATCTTTATTTTCCTATGCTTTCGTTTGAATCCTATCTTAGAGAATATTCGAGAATTTCAAATCGGAAGAAGTTACGTACTGTAGCTGGTATCGCACACATGCTTCTTACAGAATCACAAGGATGAAGAAGCTTGTATGCAATTCCTATTTGACCCACAACGTGTTCGTAATTACGTAGTCCTAATGGGATGACGTTTTTCGTCGGCAATATTTGACACAAAACAGGAATTCAATGACCTTGCAATTATACATCGATGTAGGCGGTAAGGATCATAGGGGTAGCGGCTTCGTCCAGTTATACACCGACCATAACTATTTGTTTTTTCGATGCTTCTTAAGCGAACTAATTAAAACTGAGAGCAGCGAAAACTTTCAGTGTCACTGTAAGTAACAGAGGCAAACACAGATTCAGGTATATAAATAAGAATCTGGCCATTCCGATGTTTAAAAGATGTGGCTACGTTGCCGAGAAGGAAAACGAGAACAAATTATCAAGTCCCGCAATGAATATTTATGTTAATATGTAAATTGAAAAATGTATAAGTGCCAACTGATGAATTAATGTTAATGAATGTAAGCACAAGGTGCGATCAAAATTTGGTTGATTTTGACCTGACATCCGTATTTTCGAAGTCTAGCAAATAAATTGTATGGCGCCTTCAGATCATGAAAAACGCTTAGTACAAAGATATTCTTTTAATTACAGCATTCCTGTGTTTCTAAAGCATAAACGTTTTAGGCGGATGCTTAATACTTTTTTTTTTAATATTCTGGTCCATTTTTTATCTGCGCAAGTATAATATATTGCAGTTTCATCTTCTTTTTTCGCATTTCGCTTGATACACTTTTGCGGGGATATTTTGTGTTTCTTCTTCTCACGCATTGTAGATTATAAAACAGTTCCGCTTTTTTAAGTGATAAGAGTGCTTTAGTCTCTACTTAAAGACGACATGGCGAAAAGTAAACGAACGATGGTTTGCCGTGTTATTGGCAGTGAGCTGCTAATCGGTAAGCGCTTTCATCTTGTTTCTTCTTACTGCATTTTCGTGATGGAAAATTATGCCTTCTCTTTAAGTGTCCTAAAGTCCTACTTTTTATAAGAGCCTAAAAAGATCCTGTTACTACAAACAAGCTTTCCCCTTAAGAGAATCAACTCTTGTATGGGGTGGGATCTGGGCTTACCTACTTTGTCCAAATTGGGTGCAACTAATTAATGGACATTTGCCCATTTATCATAAAGTAAACAAAAATATTTTTTATCTCCTTCTCGTATCCCCTTATGGAATGAAAATTTTTCAGTTCAATGACAATTAAGACACATTTACAAATGCCACATTATGTAGTATGTGCGCCGTAATTTAATATTTAATGAATCCTGTAACTTGAGTGAGTGATGTATTCACTAAACCATCTACTGAAGTAATATTACAACAACATCATTATTACTTGCTGTTTTGATCACAAGCTTTCTTACATTTGCTAATGAAGTAATGCTATGTTGAGCGAAAGAAAAAATAAAAAAAAAAAAATGGAGCGTAACAGGTGGAAATAAATTGAATTTTATTATATAATAAAATAGGGTAGAGCGCGACCATGATGTTTGGAAGTTTAAAATGGTAATAAGTTTTATTTATGGAATTCAACGAGGCAGCGACAACAACGAAATACAATAACACAGTAAGTAAGTCGTCAGAAATTTGTAAAGAGCGGGAAAGGGGAAACTAAATGCTTATAGTTTTCTAAGTTTTGTTTGTGTGAAAAGACCTTGAAAACTAACTCACATTAGTTGTTTCTAGAATTTAAAAAAAAAAAAAAAAAAAAAAAAAATGCAAAAATTCTTTAGTGGAATTTTAATTATACTTTGTTAATTTGTTATTTAAATTTTTCATTGCAATTAATTATTAAGTAATTATTTAATTCCCGAAATAAATTATTTTTTTTTTTCGTTTTAAATTTGCTTTTCTTTTTCCCCACCCACCATAAACGTGAGCATTAATTAAGTTGAAAAATGCATCCAGCCCTAAGGCAATTTTAACACCATTTTGCCGTAATTCAAAGTGACAACGGTATTTGGCTGCAATCAATTTAGAAACTTAACGAACGAATGAACAAGTGTAGCACGAAAAAGCATTTTAGTCAGAAATCACGAGCAAATAACACCATCGCAACCTATTCATTGATCATCACCACCACCACCATCATCATCATCATCATCATTATTATCATCATTATCATCACCAAAGGCTATAAAGCAAACGTAGAAAACTCTACACTGCTGGCATCATCGAAAACGGCTTTGGTTGTAGAAAATTAACCACATCAAGCATTGCATACAGAAAGCCGCACACGAACCTTTTAATGATGATGAACTTGTGCTGAATATTTATTTAAAAAGTAAAGAAAACAAAAATCAAAATCAACTATACAGTCTCACTTACGGTCATTAACTTACTAAACTACTTAGTTGGAGTAAAAATCATAAAAGCGAATTTTGTTAGTGCGCTGAGATCACTTAGTAAAATTGGAAAATAAAACAATATACAAAGTAAATTTAGTGGCTACAATCAGCCGTCAGATAGATAGATTCGGAGACAGAGACGCAGTTAGTTTTGCAGTTATATGGAATGACTGTGAGTCAGTCCATCGTGCTCAGCTCTAAACGTGATATTTGTCAGTTCATTTCAAGCAGAAGCCACTCGTGAATTATTTACTCAGCTATTTGAGGATTGCATGTCTCGCTTATTGCGATACGGTAGAAACAACTCTCGCTAGACATTTAGGCAAACAGCTATAAACATATACATATACACATACACAATGTACACAACTGCACAATTGCTACATATATAAAGACTTTTTCTTCTTCAAAAAACGCGAATATTTCTTAGTTGATTTTATTTAACGAAACAGGTCATTGATTTGCCAATTGTTGTTGTAGCTTTTTTCATTCATTTATTTATTTATTTTTATCATTTAATTTTTTTCTTTTTTACAATTATTTCCTCACACAGAGGCTTGCCTGCTTCTTACTTCTTGTTTGTTTGGCTTGCAGTTGCTTGTGTGTGAACTTTTAATAAATTTGCTTAGAGTTGTGTTGTGTTGCGTTTTGTTGTTTATTCTTCTTCTTATTATTATTGTTATTCTTCTTACTATTCGATTTTTAGGATTTTTTTTTTTATTTATTTTTTTTTTAAATTTGTTACAATACTTTTAATGCAACAAGTTGTTCTGTAGTAAGTTATTTGATGATATTTGCCATATTGACCTTATCGTAAATGTCAGTTAAAGGAATTTCTAAAACGTGTTTTCATTATTTCTCGTTTTCATAAATATTACCGACTACAAAAATCTATGAAATTAGAAAAGGGAGCACTAGAAGAAGGTTAGACCATGCGGTATATGAAATTTCAATCTCTTTCAGGAGAAGACGTAGCCTGCAAATAGTAACATTAAACAGATACTATGTTAAGACGAGATGTACGTTATTTGATCGACAAAAGAAAATTTTTTCGATTCACTGTTCAAAAGGAGCATATGACGAACTGTTGACAAAACCCATTTGCTAATTTAAAAGTTCTGCTCGAATGCCTTTTGCGACTTCTGTTTGTAGTGCGATGTCGCACGTATTTTATCTGTTGTTTGGGGAAGATAAATAAAATAAGAGCAAAGATAAAGAAAGAGATAAAGGAAGCTTTGTTTAGAAGATAACAATAGTTGCCTAGTCACGGCAGTGTTCTTTGCGATCTTTTCAGTATTTTTAGCCAATGTTGCTATCTTTTCACTTATCTTCCACTATTAGTAAAATCGTTTTGACGGATTTTTTCTTCGTCTGCTTCTTGTCTCCTTAAACTAGCGGTAATCGTCACGTACTTGACGGTTAGCTTTCGTTTTTGTATTCGAAAGAAGAAAGAAAGAAAGCGAAAGCGAAAGCGAAACTTTCTACCTCACACTATTTGCCTTTTACGCTTCTTTTCCTCTTCTCTTCACTTTTCGCTATATTGTTGATGTATTTTTAATTAGCTAACAGTTCTACGTTACTTTTCAGCTATAAGTATAAGATTAGTATTGTAATAGTTCGGCTGAGATGGTAAGCGTAGCTAAAATATGTTATTACCCTTCTGCTTAAGCCATTCTTGAATTAAAAAACTCAAACATCTCCTTCCAAATACGTTAAACATATCTCTCTTACTCCGGACCTACATTACTCTTGGGGACGCCAAAACAAAAGCAAAGGTACA